ACGCTAGGTCAAACAGCGAGACACTGTCCTTAGAATCGCTCAGTAGGTACAGTTGCAGGTCGTCTAGCCACGTGTCAAACTCAACCGGTCTGCCGTGATGATCAAACGCGAGAACTCGAAGCGAAGCCATAGCTGTGCAGCACGCAGGATAGTAGTAGCAGCAGTAGTAGCAGTAGCAGCAGTAGCAGTAGCAGCAGTAGCAGCAGTAGCAGCAGCAGCAGTAGCTGTAGCAGTAGCAGCAGTGACAGTGGGGGGGGGGGGAGGGCCGGGCGCGGGCTAGGGACGGGGCCGGGCGCGGGCTAGGTACGGGGCCGGGCGCGGGCTAGATACGGGGCCGGGCGCAAGCTAGGTACGGGGCCGGGCGCTGGGCTAGGGATGGGGCCGGGCGCAGGGCTAGGTACGGGGCCGGGCGCTGGGCTAGGGACGGGGCCGGGCGCGGGGCTAGGTACGGGGCCGGGCGCGGGCTAGGTACAGGGCCGGGCGCTGGGCTAGGGACGGGGCCGGGCGCTGGGCAGGTACGGGGCCGGGCGCTGGGCGCGGAACGGGGCCGGGCGCGGGGCTAGGTACGGGGCCGGGCGCGGGCTAAATACGGGGCCGGGCGCTGGGCTCGGGACGGGGCCGGGCGCGGGCTAGGTACGGGGCCGGGCGCTGGGCTAGGGACGGGGCCAGGCGCTGGGCAGGTACGGGGCCGGGCGCGGGGCTAGGTACGGGGCCGGGCGCGGGCTAGGTACGGGGCCGGTCGCTGGGCGCAGAACGGGGTCGGGCGCGAGGCTAGGTACGGGACCGGGCGCGGGCTAGGTACTGGGCCGAGCGCGGGCTAGGTACGGGGCCGTGCGCGGGCTAGGGACGGGGCCGGGCGCTGGGGTCGACGGGCCGCGAGCTAGGTACGGGGCCGGGCGCGGGCTAGGGACGGGGCCAGGCGCTGGGGTCGACGGGCCGCGGGCTATATACGGGACCAGGCGCGGGCTAGGGACGAGGCTGGGCGCGGGCTAGTGGTCGACGGACTAGGCGCGTGACGGGCCTAAGGGGGGTACTAGCAGTATATCAGGTGGTGGGCCCAAGGAACCTGCTCTGATTCCATGTAAAAATAACGAATGAGAGTGAATGAACTAGCAAACAGTTGGGTACAAGTGCTAAACCTAATTGGGTTGTACCCCTTGTGGGCTACCCCACTAAAGCCTACACAAACGTATAAGCTATAATGTTCTGACAGTGGCAGGAGGGGCGAGAGAGGCTCCAGACGTGTGGTCAAACAACGAAACGATGTCTTTAGAATCGCTTAGTAGGTACAGCTGTAAGTCGTCGAGCCACGTATCGAACTGGATCGGACGGCCCTCATGATCGAACGTGAGAACACAGAGAGAAGCCATAGCGGGCAGAGCAGGGTGGCGCGCGACCAGCAGGGCAGCACGCAGGCAGGGCAGCGCGCGAGCACTAGGGAAGCGCGTAGGGCAGGGCGAGGCAGCGCACGGCTAGGGAAGAGTGGCGCACGGCCAGGGCAGGACAGTGCAATGGCAGGGCAGGGCGGCGGCCAATAGGGCGGCGCGTGGGCAGGGCAGGGCGGTGCGGCTGCCAGTAGGGCGGCGCGCGGGCAGCAGGGCGCCGGCCAGCAGGGCTTCGCGCAGCAGGGCGGGCAGCAGCAGGGTGGCGCGGGCAGCAGGGCGGCGCGCAGCAGGGCGGTGACGGCAGCAGGGCGGCTCAGCGCGGGCAGGGCAGGGCGACGCGCAGGTAGGGCAGGGCGGCATAGCTGCCAGCAATGCGGCGCGCAGGCAGGGCAGGGCGACGCGACGGCCAGCAGGGAGACGCGACAAGTAGGGCAAGGCGACGAGACGGCCAGCAGGGCGACGCGACAGGCAGGGCAGGGCGACGCGACAGGCAGGGCACGTCGACGCGACTAGTCGGGCAGCGCTATGTGGTGGGCCCTAAAAAAAACGGTCCTCGAATAGGACCTGCTCTGAAACCATGTCAAAATACTGAACGAGAATGAATGCATTGAGCAAAAGCTGGTACAAGTACTAACCCTAATTGAGTTGTACATCTTATGGGCTACCCCACTACAACCTACACAATATAAGCATTATAATATTTTGACATAAGGGAATGTACCCCTTAGAGTACATCGCTAGTCTAGGTCGTTTCGCATTCCTTTGTATTTCCTATATAAACTCGATGTATGCATGCTTTTATCATCTCAGTCATTTACATTCAGTTGTCAGAATGTTATGTTTGTCTAGCCTGCAGTGGGGTACTAAATAGCGAGTACAGCCCAATTTAGGGTTTGCTATATGTACTCAACTGCCTGCTAGTGAAACCTCTCTTTCTTGTTTCTAACTTTCTACTGCTGATTTTTACATGCTATCAGAGCAGGTCGACCCTTCTGGGTCGATCCTGTGCATGGGCCCACCGTTATCTTCCGCTGCTGTCCTGCCTATCGCGCGCCTCGGGCGCGCGCTGTTTCGTGCCTGCCGCGCGCTCGTCGCGCGCGGTTCTTCCCGCCGCGCGCCACTAGCGCCGCGGCGGTTTTTTGCCCGTCGCGCCACCCTGCAGAGCGCGCGACGCCCTGCCTGCCCGTCGTGCGCCCCGTGGCGGTTCCGTCGCCTGTCGCGGCACACCGGGGGCCCGCGCACCCCCCCCCCCCCCCCCCCCCCTTTTCCCGTCGCCTGTCGAGGCGACCCGGGGGGGCCGCGCGTCGCCCCTTCTGTCGCCCGTCACGGCGCCCTGGGGGGCCGCGCGTCGGCCCCTCCCGTCTTCGTCGCGGCCCTGCCCTGCCCTGCCCGGCCCTGCTCAATCGCGGCCCTGCCCCCGTCTTCGTCGCTGCCCTGCCCGGCCCTGCTCAGTCGCGGCCCTGCCCCCGTCTTCGTTGCGGCCCTGCCCTGCTGCCGCCCCTGCGGCCCAGCCCTGTGTTGGGGTTTGGGGGTGGCTAGTATGAGGGTGCAGGGTGTGTGCGGCCTCCCCTGCTCCTCCTCCTCCTCCGTCTCCCACTGCTGCAGCTGCCGCTGAGGGGGGTGGGTATGTGGGAGCCGACGGAGTGGTACTAGGGGGTGGAGTGTGAGTAGTGAAACTAGGGGTGCAGCAGGGGGTGGGTAAAAGGGGGGTGAGACAGTTAGAGGGAGGTTGGGCGGAGGCAGCCGTCGTGTCGCCAGCAGCGCCGGTAGTCCGGAGGCTACAATCTCCGGTAGCCCAGCGAGCCTGCTGCGCCAGTCGCCCGTGGGTCCGTTGCTCCTGCCGCTCAGAGTTAGCCGCAGAGCAAGTTACTCCAGTAGTCCGGAGGCTACAATCTCCGGTAGCCACAGTGCGCGCCGCTCCTGTTGCCCGTGTTTCTGCAGCTTCACCTGTTGTCTCCTATCTCCTCTCCTCTCACAGTCCCTCCTCTTTCTCACTTACCGTCTGTGACTGCCTCTAGCTTTGCTTATATTTGTGAACACTAAACTGCTGCTTCTTGTACTTGTGCTCAGACTGTGTGGTGACGTCGTGATCCACCCTTAGCTTGTTTTGTTTTGCTTGTTGTGCTGATCATACCCCACTTTGACTATGGGGGTGTGTCAGAATGTTATGTTTGTCTAGCTTGCAGTGGGGTACTCAATAGCGAGTACAGCCCAATTTAGGGTTTGCTATATGTACTCAACTGCCTGCTAGTGAAACCTCTCTTTCTTGTTTCTAACTTTCTACTGCTGATTTTGACATCAGTATGACCTGAGGTCAACACTTCCGCTACAACATAATACCAACGATCAACCCTAAACCGATCCCTGGCTAAGTCCTTGAACAGTTTTGAAGGATCATTGTTCTTGTCTTATTATGATTTGCAAAAACGTTATGTACTTGAGCCAATTATAATGTGAGTGATGCCAATTTTTAATAGAAGAAACGAGCTTTCTCAATACTTATTTTGCCAAAAGTCTACTGCCGCATTTCATCCTAGAGTTAATAGACTCAGCATCCCTTGGCGAACTTGGGCCAAAGGCTCATTTTGACTGTAGAGCCATAAAGGCCTGAAAGTGAAGTGTACAGAGTAGGTGTGTGAGATTTTGATGAAGCCAACTCCCTCCCTTAAGGCGCGTGTCCTTGAGGTCGAACTTTTGCGAGGAAATGACGGATCGCCCTGTTTTCAAGTTTCCGATTCCTTTCAGCAGTGGCTTTGACACCGCCTAGCTTCTCTGCTCCTGTTCGATTCCTTGGGGCAGCTGATTTCTACATTTCCAATTTCCTGTGACCAGGAAAATTCTGAAGTTTACCTGGTTTTAGTTTAGTGGCTAGTGGAAAAAATAAACCCCTCTCGGATGGCTGGCCATTTGGGAGGCATCAACCCTAGACACCTTGCCTCATGGTGTTTAGGGTTGATGCCTCCCAAATGGCATGCCCTCCATGAGGGGTATATATTTTTTGTCCCGAGCTTCTCGTAATTGACGCGACAATTCAATTTATGATATCCCAATAAATAAAACACAATATTTGTCTCTGGACTCGAAAAGGGGCAATAGCGTAAATAACTAACCGAAGGTATCGGACGCGAGCGCGAAGAAAGGCGGTGTCAAAACCACTGCCGAAAGGAATCGGAAACCCGAAACCAGGGCGGTTCGTCATTCCCTCAAGTTTTGTCAAAGTTCGAACTTCTAGAAATGTTGTACACGGTAAGATACAGTTGAGAGACGTCTCGCCACGGTACAAAGCGGTATTAGGCTCGAACTTTGACAATCTACACCAAAAGACACGCGCCCTTATCCATTCTTCCTTCGAAGTGCCTACAACCCAGCCAGATCCACACTCCAACTATAAGTGCCTCCCTTGTGCCTCCTAGGTTTTGCGTCCCTTCCTAGCACGCGTTGTTCCGAATTGCCAATTTCTGGTGATTATCTTTTTCATCTCTGGAGGATTGGGGCTTTGAGCTTCAGTGAGATTTTTGTTTTTCATATATAATCCAGGATCGAAAGTAATTCGGTAAATTTTGAGTCGACTCAAAACGTTGTCTGTGAGTCAGAACCGAAAGTAAGTCGCTAGCAATGCGCGATAGGAGCGATAGCGACTCCGAGAGGGAGGAAAATTTCAGGAGGAGGCGCGGCCGTAAGGAGCGGAACGACAGCCGCGATTCTATCGATGGTGACTCTAGCGGGAGTGACGAAGACGCGCGCGATGTAGGCCGCGGAAAGGGGAAAGCGCGGAACGTGCGGAGAGGGGGCGGAGATGGGCGGAAGGATGAGCGCAAGGGCCGCGGAGATCCTAAGAGTCCGCCGGAGGACGACGGGGGAAGGCGGGGAGTGGGGAAACAGGGAGGGGGAGGCGGAGATGGGGGGGCGGTAATTGCGCGCAGCAGGGGGAGGCACGACTTGGACGATGAGAGCGACGAAGAGAGGGGCGGTAGCGATGGCGGAAAAGGGGGCGGAAGGGATAGCGGGAGGGGCGGAAAGGGGAAGACGCGGGGGGAATTTAAGGGGGAAGAGGAGGAGCGTGCGGAAACGAAGAAGAGCGTAGGAGGACGAAGGGGAGAGAGGGATCGTGAAGAGGAAGAGGAGGAGGAGGGGGGTGAGCGGTGGGAGATGGGTGGGGGGAGGGAGAGGTTGCGGGTTGGGCGGAAGGAGAAGCGCGGGGAGGAGGGGAGGCGCGGGGGTCGCGCGGAGAGCGAGGAGCGGGAGGATCGTGATAAGGTTGAGGGCAGGAGGGAGAGAGATCAGATGAGGGCGAGGGATGGCTTGGGGGAAGGTGAGCGCGAGCGAGATGTGATTAGGGGCAGGGAAGGCGGGAGGGGCAGGGAGAGCGAGAGGGGACGAGGAAGGGATGACGTGGATGGGAGGCGAAGGGAGAGAGAGGATGATGGTGGCAGGGAGAGGCGAAGGGATGGCGAGATGGAGAGGGAGAGGGAGCGAGACGGCAGGAGGGGGAGGGACAGGTCGGGCCGGCACAGGCGGGGAGGGTCCGATACGGATGGGAGTGAGAGCAGCGGTGAGTGGGAGAGGGAGCGAGAGAGGGAGAGGGGGGGGGTAAGGGGGAGAGGAAGGGAAGATAGGCACAGGAGGCATGAGGAAGGTAGGCGAGAGGAGGGGCGGCGAGATAGGGGGAGGGGCGATTGGGAGGGAGAGGAGAGGCGAAGCGACGGGCGGGGGGCTCCCGTGCGCGCACCCAATGCTGATGCTGCCGCCACCCCTGCCCCCGCCGCTGCTGCCACTGCTGGCGGAGCAGCAGACCCAGGCGCAGGTCCGGCTGCAGGCAAGGCAGCAGCAGCGCGGGACACAGGGCGCACGGGAGGCGCGTACATCCCGCCGTTCAAGCTCGCGCGCATGCTGCAGGAAGTCAACGACCGCAGCAGCGCGGAGTACCAGCGGCTCACGTGGGACGCGCTGCGCAAGTCAATCAACGGGCTGGTCAACAAAGTCAACGCCAGCAACATCAAGAACATCATTCCCGAGCTCTTTGGGGAGAACCTGGTGCGCGGCAGGGGGCTGCTGTGCCGCGCGTGCATCAAGTCGCAGATGGCCAGTCCCACCTTCACGCACGTGTTTGCGGCGCTGGTGGCGGTGGTGAACACCAAGTTTCCGGAGCTGGGCGAGCTGCTGCTCAAGAGGATTATTTTGCAGTTCAGGAGGGCGTTCCGACGCAACGACAAGGTGAGCAGAGGGAGGGGAGGGAGGGGAGGAAGGGGAAGGGAGTAGGAGAGGGGAAACGGTGGAACCGATGGTAGGCTAGTTGCGGTGGTGAGCACGAAGTTCCCAGAGCTAGGGGAGCTGCTGCTGAAGAGGATCAGTCTGCAGTTCAGGCGGGCGTTCCAACGCAATGACAATGTGAAGGGCGAATGGGAAAAAGGGTGGCCTGCTTGTCCTGCAGGCAGGGAACATGTTGCGCTGGCTGGTGAGGGGAGATGGGGCACGTGACTGTTACACATCTGCGAGGGGTGATGCTTCACCTTCCTGCCCGCCTCCCGCCTCCTTCCCAACCCACCGTTACGTGGTAACCAGCAGGTGGCAGTGGCACTCCATGTGACTTCCAGTCTCTCCTCTCAATGTCTCTCCATCCCCTTGACGCTTGAATCAGCAGGTGGCGCACGAGATAGTGGCGCTCGATCTGCCTCCTTTTCTTACCTCCATCCCCCTTCCTGCATCGCCTCGCCCTGCCTCCCTTCCTTGTCCCGTACCATATCTCCAATCCCCCATTTCCCCATCCCTGCCCCTCCCCCTCTCCCCTCCCACTGCAGCCGGTGCTGGTGGTGGCGTGTCGCTTCTTGGCCCACGTCTGAAAGCAGCAGGTGGCTCACGAGAGAGTCGCGCTCGAGCTGCCTCCCTCCCTTGTGTCTCAGCACCTCCCACCCCACCCACCCCTCCCTCCCCCTTCCTGCTGCAGCCGGTGCTGGTGGCAGCATGTCGCTTCCTGGCCCACCTCTGCAACCAGCAGGTGGCACACGAGATTGTGGCGCTCGAGCTGCTCACACTGCTGCTGGAGACGCCCACCGACGACAGTGTGGAGGTGAGGCCTGGGGGAGGTGGGTTCTGGGAAACGTGAGGCCTGGGGGAGGCGTTAACTGGTGAGCTCTATGCCTGGTAGTGAAGGAGGATATGTACGCTTGAGTTGCTCACGCTGCTGCTGGAGACCCCCACTGATGACAGTGTTGAGGTGAGGGCTGGGGAAGGTGGTACCTGGTGAAATACATGCCTGGTATAGGAGGAGGAGGATTCAGGCGCTCGACCTGCTCACACTGCCCACTGATGACAGCGTCGAGGTGAGGCGTGGGGGGGAGTGAGTCCGGGTGCAGGTGGTAAATGCGGAGGTATATGCCTCGTGAAGGAGGATGTAGGCGCCCGAGCTGCTCACGCTGCTGCTGGAGATGCCCATTGATGATAGTGTTGAGGTGAGGCCGGGAGGGAAGGTGAGGTCAGAGGGAGGTGGTATCTGGTGAACGTGGAAAGGATGATATATGCATTCTCATCCATCCATGTAGGCACGCACACCGTCTATGGTCACCTATCACTCACACTCATCTATGCATGTATTGTCACCTGCACACAGAAGCATGCACTCCCACCTCCCCTACCCCCACACTCATCACTGCGCCCACAGTCGTTCTCACACTCATCACTGCGCCCACAGTCGTTCTCACACTCATCACTGCGCCCACAGTCGTTCTCACACTCATCACTGCGCCCACAGTCGTTCTCACACTCATCACTGCGCCCACAGTCGTTCTCACACTCATCACTGCGCCCACAGTCGTTCTCACACTCATCACTGCGCCCACAGTCGTTCTCACACTCATCACTGCGCCCACAGTCGTTCTCACACTCATCACTGCGCCCACAGTCGTTCTCACACTCATCACTGCGCCCACAGTCGTTCTCACACTCATCACTGCGCCCACAGTCGTTCTCACACTCATCACTGTGCCCACAGTCGTTCTCACACTCATCACTGCGCCCACAGTCGTTCTCACACTCATCACTGCGCCCACAGTCGTTCTCACACTCATCACTGCGCCCACAGTCGTTCTCACACTCATCACTGCGCCCACAGTCATGGCAGTGAGCTTCGTGAAGGAGTGTGGCGCCATGCTGCACGGCACGATCTCCGTCTCTCTCCCCCCCTCCCATCTCATCCACACCCAATCACACACACATCTACCCTTTCCACTCCCGACCACGTCCAACCACTCTTAACCACTCCCAACCAACCAGGTGGCAATGAGCTTCGTGAAGGAGTGCGGCGCCGTGCTGCACGACCTCCGTCTCTTTCCCCCCCTCCCATCTCTTCCACACCCAATCACACACACGTCTACCCTTTCCACTCCCGACCACTTCGAACCACTCTTAACCACTCCCCACCAGGTGGCGGTGAGCTTCGTGAAGGAGTGTGGCGCCATGCTGCAGGACCTCTCGCCCCAGGGCCTCCACAGTGAGTGCTCTTGGCGTAGGCTTGGGATTAGGCTTGGGTGAGCCCAGCGAGTTCCAGCTGGCCTCCACAGTGAGTGCTCTCGCCTTAGGCTTGGGATTAAGCTTGGGAGAGCCCAGAGGGCTCCACAGCGAGTGCTCTTGCCTTAGGCTTGGGATTAGGCTTGGGTGAGCCCAGTGACCCGGGCTCCACAGGGAGTGTCAAGTTGCTTGGTATGTGTGTGTTTCTTCAGTTTCTCTCCGTTGTTGTGCGTTTTCAGCCCTCCCATCGCATCAATCTTGTGCCCAGCATACATTTGCCACCACCCGCTTCCCCCCTTCAATCAACCACCTTTTGTGTTGAGTTTTACGCGCTTGCGGCCACATACGCTGCACAAGAGCCATGGAACTGATAAGCTCCGTCCCAATGCTCCTGTGCTGTGCTGTGCAGTGTATGTGGATGCGAACTGATAATGCATGCTCCCTGCCGACTGAGTGGTGCACACACTAATGCATCGCTGACTGTGCAGTGATGCTCTTGTGCTCCCCGCCGCCGACTGAGTGGTGCACACACTAATGCATCGCTGCACGTCCTGCCTCCCTTTCTGCTTTCTCCTTCAACACCCCACCCCCAGGCATATTCGAGCGCTTCCGTGGCATCCAGCATGAGGGGGAGATCGACAAGCGCGTGCAGTTCACCATTGAAGGGCTCTTTTCTCCCCTCCTCTTTTCCTCCTCTCCACCCCTTTCCCTCCTCCCCTTCCCGTCGTCCCCCTCCCACCCCTCACCTCGTAGGCATATTCGAGCGCTTCCGCGGCATCCTGCACGAGGGGGAGATCGACAAGCGCGTGCAGTTCACCATTGAAGGGCTCTTCGCCATCCGCAAGGCCAAATTCGAGGTGCGTGGTTGGTGAGGGGGCATGGGGAGTGTATGGGTGGTGCATGTGTGATGCTGTGTGTGCAGTTCATCATCGAGGGGCTCTTTGCCATCCGCGAGGCCAAGTTCGAGGTGCGTGGTTGGTGAGGGGGCATGGGGAGTGTATGGGTGGTGCATGTGTGATGCTGTGTGTGCAGTTCATCATCGAGGGGCTCTTTGCCATCCGCAAGGCCAAGTTCGAGGTGCGTGGTTGGTGAGGGGGCATGGGGAGTGTATGGGTGGTGCATGTGTGATGCTGTGTGTGCAGTTCATCATCGAAGGGCTCTTTGCCATCCGCAAGGCCAAGTTCGAGGTGCGTGGTTGGTGAGGGGGCATGGGGAGTGTATGGGTGGTGCATGTGTGATGCTGTGTGTGGAGTTCATCATCGAGGGGCTCTTTGCCATCCGCAAGGCCAAGTTCGAGGTGCGTGGTTGGTGGGGGGGCATGGGGAGTGTATGGGTGGTGCATGTGTGATGCTGTGTGTGCAGTTCATCATCGAGGGGCTCTTTGCAGTTCGCTAGGCCAAGTTCGAGGTGCGTGCCCGTGATGTGGGGGAGTACGTATGGGCTGTACACGTGTCATGCTGTGCGCAAGTGTGCATGGGTGTGTGTGTCTGTGCGAGTGCAAGTTCGAGGTGCGTGTGATGGGGTGAGGATCGATCACCCATGGTGCTGTTGCGGATGTAGCTAAAGAGGTGCCTGAACCACAACTCGCCTCCATTCCAACCATCTCCCTCTCTCAGGGCTTCCCCGCAGTGCTGCCCAGGTGGGGGGGGGGATCAGATCTTGCACGAGCTCTCAACATCTCACGCGCACCCTGCTGGCCTCATGCTCACGTCTTCACACCCCTCCTGATGCTCGTCTCTCCCCCTCCCATGGCTTCCCAGCGCTGCTCCCCAAGCTTGACCTGATAGAGGAGGAGGGTCAGATCACCACGAGCTCTCAATCTCCCCCCCTGCTGACTTCATGCACTCCTCTTCCCGTCCCTCCCTCCCATGTCTCTTACCCTCTCCACGGCTTCCCAGCCATGCAGCCTGAGCTCGATCTGCTGGAGGAGGAGGAGGGGGATCAGATTGGACCACCCACAAGCTGTTATTCACTCACTGACTGCATTGGCCTCATGCACACCTCCCCCCGCCCCTCCTCCTCCCCGTGTCTCCTGCCCCCTCTCAGGGCTTCCCAGCAGTGCTGCCCGAGCTGGATCTGGAGGAGGAGGATCAGATCACGCACGAGCTGGCAATCACTCGACTCACCTGGCTCACCTCGTATCGTGATCCCCCACCCACCATGTTCCGTCCCCCCTTTTTTCAGGGCTTCCCAGCAGTGCTACCCGAGCTGGATCTGGTGGAGGAGGAGGATCAGATCACGCACGAGCTGTCGCTGGAGGAGCCGTATGACCCCGAGACTTCACTTGGTGAGCAGCCAGCTTATAACGAGGACGGGTTGCCTTGAGAGAGCAAGGGTGGTGGTGGTGTCTGGGTTAAACCTGATTGTTGGTTCTGCGTTGTTGGCCAGTCTGTTTCCATCCCTCGCGTCCTCCTCTCTTCTTTATGCACGCGCCAACCCTCCAGCGCTCCAATCTTGATTTGCTACTCTTCTTCACTTCATGCTGAATCGATTGCTTTTCTCCGTACACTTCGCGCCTTTCCCCCTACCGGCCCCAGCCCCCTGCCGTTTTCTTCCATTAATCACCTCCCTTGCCTTTCTTCCCCACCTCCCTCTCCCCACCCCTCCTTCGCCCCACCCCTGTTTCCCCCTTTCTCCCCCTCTCTCCCCGTCCCTCTCCCCCCAGACGTGTTCAAGTTCGACCCCGACTATCTGGCTCACACGCAGCGCTACAAGGAGATTAAAGCCGAGATCCACTCCCCACTCCCCCTCTCCCTTCCCCTACCCCCTCCCCCTCCCTTCCCCTACCCCCTCCCCCTCCCTTCCCCTCCCCCCTCCCCCCTTCCCCTTCCCCCTTCCCTCTTCCCCTCCACCCCCATCTCCCCTCCCCCCCCAGACGTGTTCAAGTTTGACCCGGACTACCTCGCAAACGAGCAGCGCTACAAGGAGATCAAAGCGGAGATCCTGGGGGACGAGGAGGAGGATGAGGACGAGAAGGGCGAAGGGGGGGGTGATGATGACGACGATGAGGAGGATGAGGAGAGCAGCGAGGAGGAAGAGGACGAGGAGGAGCAGGCGAAGCAGCAGGAGATTCGCGACGAGACGGAGACGAACCTGGTGAACCTGCGGCGCACCATCTACCTGACCATCATGGCTTCGGTCAACTTTGAGGAGGCGGGGCACAAGCTGATGAAAGTCAACCTGCAGCCGGGGCAGGAGGTGAGGGCAGAGTGGGGGGGAGACGGGTTGGGGGGAGGACAGGGGGTGAGGGAGGTGAGGAAGGGGTAAGGCTTTAGGGCTTGAATCAGAAGTGAGGCGTGAGGAGGCGGGGCACAGACTGATGAAGGTCAACCTGCAGCCGGGGCAGGAGGTGAGGGGAGGGTGGGGAGGGGGGGGTGGGGAGGGGGTTATGGTCTTGGGCGGGGGCAGTGTGCATGGAGCGATGGGGTTTGAGCTCATGACGATCAACCTGCATGGGGCCTTCCGTAGAATCCTTCATCATCGCCTCCTCCCCCCTCACACCCCTCCCTTCCCTCCACACACGACCCTCTCCCTACCCCTTCCACTCATGCAGTTAAAGCTGTGTGAAATGTTGCTTGCCTGCTGCTCCTTTTACGATTCTCACCCTCCCTCCTCCACATCCCTCCCTCCCCCTCTTCCGCTCTCTCCCCCCAACCCCCCCCCCCCCCCCCCCCCGTTCCCCTTCATGCAGATGGAGCTGTGTGAAATGCTGCTTGCCTGCTGTTACTTTCATGACCCTGACCGCCCCCTCTCCCCCTCACACCTCCCCCTCCGCTCCTTTCCCCTCCTCTCCCCTCCCTCCTCTCCCCTCCCTCCTCCCCCCTCCCTCCTCCCCCCCTCCCTCCTCCCCCCTCCCTCCTTCCCCTCCCCCCGCCACCCTGCGTGCAGATGGAGCTGTGTGAGATGCTGCTCGCCTGCTGCTCCCAGGAGCGCACCTACCTGCGCTACTACGGGCTGCTGGGCCAGCGTTTCTGGTGGGTGGAGTGTGGCAGTGGTGCGTTATTGCAGTACTTGCCATCATGGCAATCAATTTGGCCTGGGCCCGGACATGCCTTTGGATGCCCTATCGTGTCGCACCATACCATAGCCTTTCTCACCTATGCATCCAACTCATTTTCTTTCTCTCTCCTCGCATCCCCTCCTCTCCTTCTGTTCCATGTTTCCCCCTCTTACCCTATCCCACTCCCTGTCCCCCCACCACCACCGTCTCTCTCCTGCAGCATGCTGATCCGCGCCTATTCAGGAGTGTTTCGAGCAGTGCTTCGTGAAGCAGTACAGCATGAGTCACTGCCTCAAGTTTGATGCTATCTCTCTACTCCCCACCGCCCTCCCCTCCCCAGCATGCTCAACCGCGCCTACCAGGAGTGTTTCGAGCAGTGCTTCGTGAAGCAGTACAGCATGATCCACCGCCTCGAGACCAACAAGCTGCGCAACGTCGCCAAGCTCTTCGCGCACTTCCTCGCCACTGACGCCATGCCATGGGCGCTGCTCTCTTACATTCGACTGACTGAAGAGGACACCTCTTCCTCCTCGCGTATCTTCATCAAGATCATGTTCCAGGTGCGTTTTAGTTCAGCTCAGCTTGACACTGCAGTCACAGGGCAGTGCCACAGTGGGCTCTTCGCTCACTTCCTTGCCACCGACGCCATGCCCTGGGCGTTGCTCTCCTACATCCGCCTCACTGAAGAGGACACCTCTTCCTCGTCCCGCATTTTCATTAAGATCATGTTCCAGGTGAGCGTTGATTTGCACTCTCAGGGCCCTGGGGCCTTTGCCCACTTCCTCGCCACCGACGCCATGCCCTGGGCGCTGCTCTCCTACATTCGACTCGCTGAGGAGGACACCTCCTCCTCGTCGCGTATTTTCATCAGGATCATGTTCCAGATGCGTTTTAGTTCAGCTCAGCCTTGACACTGCACTCACAGAGCGGTGCCACAGTGGGCTCTTCGCTCACTTCCTCGCCACCGACTCCATGCCGTTGGCGATGCTCTCTTGTATTCGCCTCAATGGGGAAGACACCCCCAACACCGCCTCACACCCCACCTCCAAACTTTGTTCTCTTTCCCGAAACTCACCTCTTAACAAGAGATGTCGGAGCAGCTGGGGCTTCACGAATGAACGAGAGAGGCTCAGTGACCATTCATCTGCGTCTCTTTTTTCCCCATGTCCCCCGAACGCCCCACCCCCATTCTCTCTCTGTCCCATTACCACCCCCCCTCCCCCGCCCTCCCCCCTCAACCCGAGCAGGAAATGTCGGAGCAGCTTGGGCTGCGCAAGATGAATGAGAGGCTCAGCAACGTGTGCTTTGTTCTCTCCCCCCTTCCCCTCCCAACCCCCCCCCCCTCCCCCCTTCTCTCCCCCTCCCCCTATTTCCTGAAACCAACCATAACAGGAGATGTCGGAGCAGCTGGGGCTGCGCAAGATGAACGAGAGGCTCAGCGACCCGACCATGGGGGCGGCATTCGACGGCATTTTCCCCAAAGACACGCCCAAGAACACCCGCTTCGCTATTAACTTCTTCACTTCTATCGGTCTGGGAGGGCTGACAGACAACCTGAGGGAACACCTGAAGAACATGCCAAAGCTTATCATGCAGCAACAGAAGCCTGTTCAGGTGTCCGAGAGTGAGAGTGAGAGTGAGAGTGATAGTGAGAGTGATAGCGAGAGTGAGAGTGATAGTGGGTCGGACAGTGGGAGTGACAGTGGGAGCGAGAGTGAGAGCGAGAGCAGCGAGAGTGAGAGTAGTGAGAGTGAGGATAGCCGAGACAAGAAGAGGAGGCGCAAGAAGTGAGAATTAACGTGTGGCTGTGGCGGACTTGGTTGTTGGGTGTACTGTACATGCACTTTGTGTCGTGTTACCGTACTGAGATACGATGCTTGTACGGTACTTGGACTGGACAATTTGCTAGTGGTGTAGCTTTGGGGCCTTTGATTGTCAAAACGGAATTCAGGCCCTTGTTTGAAGCACCCGCTTGCAGTTATCTTATGAAGGTGCATACCTTGGTTACTATTTTGAGCACCTGAAACTGTTTAACTGGGTGTGTAGTGAAAGTAAGTTGTAATTACCAAGCTGCATTAGAAACTAACAACATTTTCCATTTTAGGAACGATGTAAGGAATTTTTCAATATTCCTTACCGCGCTCTTCAACGTCGCGTTCAGCAGCAGCCGTGATTCGCCCGTCACTGCTAACGGGGCTTCGCCAACTTCGCGCGCACTGTTTTACCAAACCATGCACCGCTGGCCTGGCCGAGTCGGCCTACGCTTCGGGGCTAGCCCGAACCTCAATGCCAGCCTAGCAATAGATAGCTAGCACGCACCGCGTAACAGTTTGCATGTTCGCACATAAGTATTCGCTCATTGCCTTCGCTCATACCGTATCACCCCCGGTAAAAGCGCAGGCCTATTAAAAGCTCATGCGCTTCTATCTGGAGCAGGGCCCAAATTATCAGGGTAAAATACCCTGTTTGCCCTGATGAGCGGCCACTTTTTCCCAGTTACCCTTGCCAAATCAGCCTATGAAAAGTTTTACCCTAGTGGAAAAAGGGTAAGGTTTTGAGTACACTGATAACGATTTCGGTTACCCTGCCGGTATCAGGGTGCGCTGCACATTACACTGATACCGAATCCTCCGTAGGGAGGTTTTTTTTTACGAAGCCGCAAAATATCATCAACCACGCCGGGATTCGAACACGTGATCTTCCAATTCCTAGAAAAATATCTAACAGCCTGAGACATACAATACTGTCCTTATAATGCAGTCAACATTTATGGCTGTGTATAAACATTTTTTACACTACAAACAGTGTATTAATAAATTTACCCTGACACAAACCGTGTATCTGAAATTTTAGGCTGCTGCCATCAGTGTACGGATAATATTACCCTAGGGGTCAGGGTACTGGGGGGCTCGAACCCTGATTGCAAGAGTGGCCCAAAACCAATTTTGGGCCCTGATCTGGAGCAATGCGCTTATGCCCGATCCTCAATTATAAGCGCAACCCCTTAAAAAACTGATAGAATCATGTGAGGAGAATGGATTGCATTAGGTCGAAGGGGAGGTACAAGTACAATGTCGAGAGATATTGTCTACCCCCTAAGGCTAAACCCACTAGAGCCTAGTGTTGGAAACAAGTGATTTAAAACGCTTCTGTCGTATCGAAGCTTCGACACGAAACGGAGCTGACTACAGCGAAGAAGCACTCGAGTCAACCAAGGCAACCGTCGGAGGTTACGCGAAGGTCAAAGGTCTCCGACCTTTGATTTGACGAAACGTACAGTGCGACAGCAAGGACACATAACTGACTCGTTACAGAGCAGTTACCCGAGTCGGCACTGTATCGAACCGCAACAGCAAAACAGTTAAAGTAGGACTTTTCATATTCCTTGTAATCATATAAAAGGCTTGTATCTCTTGATATTATTCAACTTATCTTGTTCTCACACACCAGTACAAGGTGGTTCAAGTTATTCTTCATTAAACGCTTCCGCTATTACATCTCTACGTCAACACCTGATCTTAGTCCTGAAAGTTCCCAAGGGCTTTTCTCAGCCCAACATGGAATGAGAGCAAGGCAGGACAAGATCACTTTCCAACTTTTTACAACACAAATCATGGCTACACAAAAGGAGAGGAGCTCCTCCAACGGATCTCTCGGCACTACCCCCACTCCACCTCCAGTCTCTGGCCTACAGACAGAAGAAGGCACAAGACCAGCTGCAGAGTCAACGGAAACTCCGGTGAATCAACAAGCAGGCTTCGACCCAAACATGATGGAGAAGTTCTTCTCCTTCATGTCCTTCTACGAGCAACACCAGCAAGCAGCTCCTGCGCAATCAAACAACAGCGACAACAACAACAGAGCAACACCGATGAGTCTTGATGGTTCATCGTACGCGCGCGGAAATCAACAACAACCTACCTTTGCTCCGTATGAGCCTCAACGCGGCTCTGTCAGTTTCGCGCCGCAGCCGGAGTCTTCACCTGGACAAGAGAAGACACTGGACGCGCTTCAGGTGCAATCGCAATTCGCACACGTTCTAAAATTACAAACATCAACGCTTTTCGACGGGAATGATTTCTATACCTGGTCCTTCGAATTTGAGCTGATGATGGAGGGCGCGCAAATCCTCGGATTCTTCGACGGGTCCCTACCATATCCAACACACGGGACACAGTACGACAAGCAGCAATACACGTATCCGTCACTGATGGCGTATACAATACTTCTTCGAAACTTGATGCCAAACGAGCAACAGAACATCCGGTCTTATCGAGGATACGGCAACTCCGCCGAGCTGGCATACGACCATCTGAAGAGCCTGTATCAAGCAACAGACAGCGTTAACCAGAATCGTCTCATGGCACAGTTGACAACAGTGGAAATGAATCCCGGCGAAAAGGGAATGGCTTATATTAGCCGTTGTCGCGGACTGCGCAACAGACTCCTTCGATGCGGAGGGTCAATTTCATAAGAAGCATTTGTAACAGTCATCATCGCTGGCCTTGGTCCTCATTGGCGCTCCACTCGAGCACTTCTTCGAGCCCACGGGAAGATCTCCGAAGCAGCACTCTGCGCCGAAATTCATGCTGAACAGCAAGATATGGACCTGCACGAAGAACGACACAAGAAGAAAGCATTAGCACCGGAGTTCGCCTTCCATACTCAACGACGCTACAACAACAACAACAACAACCGACAAGTACAACAATACGTCCCACCGTTTTGTCATCTTTGCAAGACGTCCGGTCATCCGCGCACACACTGCCCGAATCAGTAGCAGTCGACAACACCGCACCGCCAACTTCGGCCCTCAAGCAGTCAAGTAACTTCTACAGAGGCGCATCCCACCAGTCAAGTGCAACCTTCAACATCTTCAACATCGCAATCTGCACAAGGAACAAGAAACATCGTTAGCTGCATGACAAGAACGACTAATTCCTGCATCACCGGATCACCACCCTACTACTCACCAGAAGACCAACTCGATGAAAGGACTCCCCGCCGCGACTCACTGGAGCCTAATCCGACGTATGCAGCTATCGCCCAAAGCGAACCATCTGGGCAAGACACTTGGTTCTTGGACAGTTGCTGCGGACAACATATGTGTTCCTCGAGTCGTTTCGTCCAACAAGAGCATCAATTTCAGCGCGAAGTCGTCATCACTGTGGCCAACAACCAGAACCTGCACACACGACGACAAAGAGTAGTACAACTTCAGTCCCGAGAAACTAACGTCATCCTACAAATGTCCAAAGTGCTGATTGCAGAAGGACTTGGCTACAACTTACTGAGCGTCAGTCAACTGATGGCGAAGGGGATCCATCTTGAAGCAAACAGCACCACTCAAGAGTTCAAACTATTTCACGGTAGAGGAGGACTCTACATCAGCAGAGCGGTCTTGAAAAATAACGTCTTCGACCTTGACTTTGTACCAGATCAAGGAACCGCCGATAGCGACGCCATCGTCAACTTCGCCTCTTGGACGCACCCACCGGACCTTGATCCCGATTTCAGCCCTGGAGGTTTCTGGTATTCACATACCATACCTGAAGCAGAAAGAACACGGGCATTAGCAACAATTCGGCAAGAAGAAACAACATCGACAGCAGCAGAGACAACATCGGTAACAACAACAACACTTACAACACCAATCGCGAGCTCTTCGACGGCACCACCACTCATCGACGAGACTTCACCGACTCCTGCGCAGCAACTAGCACCCACTCCACGTGAAGTTCACAGAAGCGCCAACTTCACCGCGGGTTTTTACTCCAACTCCGACCTGTATAGGCGCTCACCCGGACATCGTGCAAGTGAGTCCCTGTGGCACGAACGACTAGGTCATCCAAGCAACACCACGTTAAACAATACAATCAAGGCAGCAGTGCTCGACAAAGACTCACTCCTTCTACCCGACGGCAGAGAACTCCAACGAGTCAGCGGAACATGCTTTACCTGTCCCGAAGCCGACTTACCACATCAACCGTTCGCCTCTCACCACAATCCAAGCGCGCCAGCTTATACACCACTCGAGAAAGTTGTCAAACATTAATCACATAGCCTGTCTAGGCTGTAGTGGGGTAGACACTATGGGGTACAGTTTCCTAGGGTTTCATATTTGTACCCAACTCATTTCCTAGTCAATCATTCATTCCTGTTTCTTCACATGGTATAGAGCGGGTTCCCTAGTGGGACCGTTCCTTCCTAAGGGCCCACCGTTGAATTTTTTTTTTCCTAACCTGCCCGAAGCGCGCTTCGCGCTCTGCCCTGCCCCACCCTTTCTCGGCCCCTTAGCGGCCCCTTCGCGGCCCCCTTAGCGGCCCCTTCGTGGCCCCCTTAGCGGCCCCTTCGCGGCCCCGTCGCGGCCCCTTAGCGGCCCCGTAGCGGCCCCGTCGCGGCCCTGCCACGTCGCCTGTCGCGGCCCTGTCGCGGCCCCGTCGCGACCCCGTCACGGCCCCGCCCCGGCCCTGTCCCGTCGCCTATCGCGGCCCCGTCGCGGCCCTGCCCCGGCCCTGCCTCGTCGCCTGTCGCGGCCCCGTCGCGGCCTCGCCCCGGCCTCGTCCCGGACCTGCCCCGTCGCCCGTCGCGGCCCCGTCGCGGCCCCGCCCTGGCCCTGCCCCGTCGCCTGTTGCCGCCTCGTCGCGGCCTTGTCGCGGCCCTGCCCCGGCCCTGCCCCGTCGCCAGTCGCGGCCCCGCCCCGGCCCTGCCCCGTCGCCAGTTGCGGCCCCGTCGCGGCCCCGCCCCGGCCCTGCCCCGTCGCCAGTCGCGGCCCCGCCCCGGCCCTGCCT